GTCCACCACGTTCACATTGGTATTTTCATTCTTGTGTCGGTATACGTATTTTTATAATTTAATGCATGGGTAAGGTTAAAACTATTTACAATCATTGATATGACCCGACATTTTCACTGTTATTATCGTAGTGCTCGTGGTCGATTGGTTAATGAGTACGCTTTTATCGTCTTTCAAGGATCAATGATGATGTGGGTTCTAATCCAGCTAAAAGTTTTTTTTTATTTTACCTTGTTGTTTTTCTTATTTTTTTTTTGTTTTTTGTCATATAATATAAATATCAGGCTATAAAAGAAGCAAATCAGTCGGTAAATAAAACAATACTATTTTTTATTAAAATTAATTTATTAATTATACAAATATGTGGTTTTATATTTAATATTTATATCTAATAATTAATTATATACCACATGTTAACTTTAAAGTTCTTCCAATCATTCTAAATTATTCTAAATAATAAATAACTAGAACTAAAATATAAATAAAGGATATTATAGGTATAAATAAATCTAAAGTATTTACTATTAAAATTAACATAAGATTTAGAAAAATAGGATAGGAAAAAAAGAAAAGATTTAATTGTTTCTAATTTCACATTTCAAATATTTGATTAATTAATATTAAAACAACATGTGAATGCTGGAATCGATCCGGTGGCACTTTACTTGACCACTGGAGGCGATAACCATTGCGCCAAGCGCGCCGTAGTTGAGAACATCGAAATATTGTATATCATTCAGTAACATAAAAATACAATGAGAATGCACTATATTTATATAAGTATTGTATTGCTCGATCGTTCATTATTTTTGATTTCGATTTATTCAAACTTTGTTATGAGTATTTTTATCTTTACCCTCGTTTTTATTTAAACTTATTTACTAAAATATTACGTATACCGACACAAAAATGATATGTAATACCAAGATGTGTGTGATAGAACGAATGTTTCTATACATATTTATTAATATGAAATTACCCACACATGTTCACTGTGTAAATGATAGTAATGTCGATGTGTAGCGCCTCGAACTAATTAGCGGTGCTTTGTGTACAAATACGCACATGTAGCGATGTAAAAAGGAATACAACACCTGTCCGTGAACGAATTTACCTCATTCTAAGTACAAGTTGTAGGTCTACGTACACGCGTATGTATCGAGCAAACTTTTCCAAGGTAAGTTGTGATTGAAAGAGAACATAATATCAAGTTGGGGAAGATTCGGGTGACTGTTTATGTATGCATTGTTTTCATTTAAATGTACGCGTGTGGAGTGACAAGCGTGTCTGCCGGGACACCCACATATAGATAATGTTGCTAACTTGTCTCGTAATTTACGGCTGACACTTCCACTTTCTGAGCCTCTTTATAAGCGTTCCGCGAGTTATCCTTAAGTAATTAGTTGTGTTAAGCAAAGTTGTGTACGAAATAAATTGTTTAATTCAATGTGATATTATGAGTCGACACCTCGAGAGAGTCGACTTCTACACGTCATATCAGATTTCTATATTCGTTTGTGTAAGTATTGTGTTTCCGTAACTAGTAAACATTTGTACAAAATACTAAGTTATGATTGTAAGTCACGCTCGTAAACTCATATCAAAGGAATGTTCTTTTATTCGGAATAAATTACCATGAAAATAAATGGTCGGGTCGTTCGTCTAAGACATAACAATAATAGATAATGGCCTAGCACTAAGCGTTAGCCATTGAGAACTGTTGTTAACTTTACCATAATTACAGTACCAACAACGACACAATTTTAACGTCAAACGACCTTTGAATTCGCTTCATTTACTTTTTAATATCGTGACATACAATAATATTGTACCCTAAATAACCTTTGCTCCAGTTTCAATGTTACTAAAAGATCATATATCAATTGATGTGGAAATATAAATAAGATCCCTAATAATAAGCTCAACTATTTCGATAGAAATATGATAAAATATATTGTGTATTATGTGGAAGTAGTAAGTAAATAGCTACTAGTAAAATGATAGAGCGGTTTCACAAATACCGTTCGGCGTTCACTCCTTCATTTTGCGATGTACAAAAGAATGTTGATTAAGGCACAAGCCTAATTCAGTGGGCGGAGATAGGGCGGGCCGTCGTTAAGCTAACGTCTTGGTTGCCTAGACCGGCTCATGTGGAGTAATCAATCTATTAGTCGTAAGCCTCATCTGCTCCATATTAGTGTTTTTATTTGCTACCTACTTCCGAGGAAAATCTCTACGGGATATACGTTTTGGAGTATATTGTTTGCTAGTGTTGGTTTTGTCACTATCTCAATAAATACGATCTCAATTTTATTTAGTGTGTTAAGATTTCAGATAGAAGTTTAATCAGAAAAGTTTAATCTAGGTTACCTCGGTAATATTCTAAAGATACTGCTCGACTAATTTTAGTTGTACCTACTTAGCTCTCATACTTTGAAAGTGTGCATTAAACGTCTACTTAGGAATTTACATTTTCTACGTTGAGGAAACAAATATCAAGTTTACAGTTCTCTAAAACAGTGCCTTTAAAACCGCAATAGATAACAATACACTTAAAAATGTGTAATTTCAGTGTCGATTTGGTTCCCATATGTAGACCTAGACAGTAAATAAAATAAAAGCAATTTCTCGTTATCGCAGATAAAAACAGAAAACAGATTAAAAATAAAAGTGACCAGGGTCCCATTTTATTGAAGTATTTATTAAAACAAAACTAAAGAGGTCGGCTCCGTGGAACGTGGCAGCTGCCTCGCGTCAAACGAATATTTTGAGTGGCCGCCAAAGAAAATTCATTTCCTGCTGTTTCTTGTTCCGTAAAATCTTTCCGAGCGGAATTTAAGTGCAATTTCTATTCATTTATTTTATTAGCGAAGCTGGAAATCCTTTAAATTGATGTGCTTTTGAAAAATATAATATGTTATGCCACTTGTTATGTGAAAAGATAGTCAGAAGAATATCTTGTTTTTAAATAATTAGTGAGCTAATTTCCTTAATAGATAACTTAGTGCCATTCCGGATTCCAAAGTACAACATGTTTAACAATCTTACATTCGAAAGTGACGCCTAAAATCAAAAAAATAATGAAGTTTTGATGAAATAAAATTTGAAAATAAATAAGAAAGCTAATGGTAATTGGATCACCAAACCACTGCTTGTATAAATTGAGGGACGAGGAAACGTAATGAACATCATTATTATTTTAATTGTTGAATAAATGTTAGTCGGCGTGTCGTTAAAATTATTACTTTTTATTGATCGACGCGACGCTATTAATGTACACACAGTAATCACTATATTTTGTTTGATTGCTTATAATATTATTATCGTGTTACTTTAGTTACCTGGTACTTTAGTTACTGTAACTAGTTATGGGTTCCATCAGGCACGTCAAAACACCTCGGAGACTTAGAGAGCACTTAGAGTTCGTCCGTCCTTCTGTTATAACATCTATACAGTCGTTACGTTAGTCACACACCCAAAAGTTGGTGGGTGTTTTAAACAAGAACATGCTCACCTTTAAAGTGTATCTAAAGCCAGACGGCATCCACAAAAACATTACTATATTATGGGGGTTTGCCATATATATAGGTTTAGAAAGTTCTGGAAGCCGAATCCATTACGTCCTCTGTAGACTTCTCCGTGAAAATGAAGGTGGTACTCATAATTAAACAGTTTCCTACATAGTCAGCAAGTTTAGGATTTAGTGACCACTTAACATCTGGAGTACTAAGCTTTATTGCTGCCGATAGTAGATGAATAACGGTGGTAATATTCAGCCAAATCAAGAAGACTTAGGCCTCAAACTGAGAAAAAGCTGGGAAAAGAAAACTATATTTGTTGAGAGATTTGTTGAATAACTCGGAGGCTTGGAGGGTCTTTATTAGAAAATATTTGCTGGATGAATCTGAGGTTGTCGGTCCACCATTAATAATACTGTGTCGTTATGAATGAAATATTCACCAACTTATGAGACTGGTGGGGCGCGAGCCTAGCCGTGGATTTCGTTCTTCTTGTATTAATAATTCATGCTTAGTTCCTGTCCATTAACTTTGCTATTATATGTTTCGTGATTATGTTGCTTTTGACACTGTTTTGCAATAAATCTGAATTCACGTCTCATAGTAAGTTTGGTTTTAGTGGAAATCAACCAATAACATAGAGAGCTGTTTTATGAAAATTGTACAATTCCATAAATACATATAGCACTGGGAATGTAACAAATATCACCGGTTTTTAATTTAAAAAAATGTTTTGAATTTCATTTAATCCTTTCTCTCATTTAGACACGTATTTTAATGATACAAATAATAAACCGCCCTGCAAAACACGAACATTTAAACATGATTACTATTCTTCAACATACCTACCTGAACGGTGTAAATTCCAAAATATAATTTACATTTACAACGGTATATAGTGAAGCTTCAGTACGTGGGTATTTAATTAATAAGAGACCAAGCGCCAGATTGAAGCCCTGTTTTACTTAATTTGCTATGGACAAGAATTCAACGAATTTTGTGATAATCTGTGTAGCAGCGAATAGATAGAATATTATGATCCTTTGTCCATTGAACTTTTCACGGAAATTGTGAACCGTGGAATATTTGTGTTCTGTTTAATTGGATTTTATGTTTACCTATTTGTTTTAGTGTTGCCTTTGTAACTTTGGCGCTCCACTCGGTTGTTCTGCGAATATCATAAAATAGAATTCAAATGAAATGTTGCTGTAGTTTTCAAATATTTATAGTGTTGAAACGAAATAGTAAACTTGTGTAACTCCACAATCCGGTCACAAAATCATAAAATCGTCTATTTTAAAAGCAGCATTTATTTTATTCTTCTGGGGTCCAAAAAATTCCGACAATATCACCTCAATTATCTCTTGAACGCTTTAAATTCCTACATCTTTCCGTAAATTTAAGACAGTTCAAAAATGTCTCTTAAAGCCGGGATAACCCTCATCAAAGCAAAACAAACCTAACTTATTTAACATTTTTCAGGTACAAAGGGAGCTCGTGATCTGCCCTGAGGGTGAGTTACATATTAACTATGTATAAGGTATATTTTTATTGTTTTAACAGCCGAGCTATGTAAACATCACTACTGCGACATTTTCGAGACAACCTTTTTTACTCACTAAAAGCTTTTACAAGATATTTTAAGAATCACTTTGCGTCATGTGTAAAATGTTACATTTGGGGATGTATTGCTGTCATTATTTCAGCGATAAGTACTTAATATTAACGTTTTGCTACGCACCTAAATTCTAGAACAATTATGTAATTAAGTAAGTTCGAAAAGAGTAATCTTATAAGGATCTCGACGGAGTGTCTTAAAAACAGTAGCCATTCAGCCCGAACGGAACGTTTACGTCTCATAGGCATTTAATCTGTTCAATGTGCTATTACAGTCACGACTTTGGCCATTCCTTCTTAATTTATGTCCGACAGTGGAACCGGCGGTCGGCGGAGTAGGTTTGAGGACCTACTTTGTCCTAACATGTCTACAGCCTCACATCCAAGTTACGTGAAAAATACTAAAAGAAATATCTCGTGAAAGCATTAATCTTAGCTATATTACGTTTTTCCCTATCCTACTAAATCGTTTCTTCATTCGATTTTTTCCAATTATTTGCCGTATTAGATTTTCAATGTGGATATTGTATCTTTTACCACCGTTTGAGCTCATTTTTTCGCTCTTCGTAAATAACATCGGTTTTAAATAAAACTTGGTTTATACAGCAATATACTGATTTCTTTTCAAATACTGTTCGTTATATAATAATTCAGAGAAGGATTTCAATGAAAAGTTTTGCTAAACTACGGAATATATCTTTATACCTATTAACCATCAGATTTAGTGGTTATTGAACGTTGTTTCTGAAGTCACTTAGGTTAGTTAGTATGATATTCTTATCATATAAATTCGAAGATTTCTAATAAGCGTCTGCTTATTAGAAATCTTCGAATTTAGTGACTGTGAATAAAATCAAGTTCCTACACAAAAGAAAACTATATCATGAAAGGTTTGATAATTAAAAGGTTTTTGTTGAGGAGTGTGAGTAATACAACCTATACCAATAAAAAGTATAACTAGGAACAAAAGAGGGTAATTTATATCATTTTGCCTAAGATATTAACAAACCACAAACATAATTACTACATAAGAATATAATTACCATGTACCAAATACAATGTCGTTAAATACCAATTTACTTAATTAAGAACGTGTGTTTATCTTTAATATAGATGATGAATAATGAACAAAGGGATTTCTGAGCAAGTACCTTGTACTTATGTGCCTTCTACTGAGCTAGGTAAAGAAATGGTTCCATAACTGACTGCCGTAAGAAGCGTTTCGTTCAAATGAAATCCCATTAAAACTTTTTCCATTAAACATTGTTCTTTAGAAAAATGCCCTTGATCCCAACATTAAAGTTAATAATAGCACACGATTACAACTTAATTGCGAAATAACTTGATACTGAAATCATGATTTCTTAATATTTGTGTTCTCTCTGATGTTGCCTTATTTACCCGGCCGCTAAAACTTAAATTGCTGCTCGTTGATTTTAAAATTGTAAATACGAAATTTGAGATAACGAAGCCTTTCTATGTGTAAAAGGAAAATGCTTGTTTTCTATTTGCAAATCAAACGTAAAGGACTAAAAAAACATTCGTAAAGCGTTCGCTTCTATAACCCTTTTTTGCACTCGACGTTTGTTAAACGGGAACACACCTTTATCGGAAAATCCCAACTGTGTTTTCACAGTTCCTTTACGCTTCGATTGGCGATATCTATCATTTCACTGTACCCCTATGCAATAACAATTCCTACTCAATCGCGGCAGCCATGCGAGCTCACTACAAAAACCTAGTCATAAATATAGGAATAAACTTTAATGGAATTGATTGTTTCCCGATACTGTAATTTTCAGAGATATTATTTTATATGGAATCGCGCTGTGACCATCCAAAATGTGCTGTTGACAGCCGAGCGTGAGATAATCCACACGTTCTGATTTCAACTTCAATTTAACACTAATTTATCATATTATTAGTGGTAGAAGACATTAAGCGGCATAGCCTTTGCATTTAATTCCAATTGGTAGTTCATTAAATGTCTATCTCTCTATTTCCGTAAATTCATTCGAAATTACGTTACTAGTCATTTGCGGAGATCGGCATTCTGCGTATCAGCGTATTTGGATCTGGTAAAAGCTTATTGATTTTAGAGCTCACAGGCTACATTCAATGTGGCTTACAAAGTGATTTTGCTATTTAGGTCCTGACTATATTTAAAATGAATTCCGTAAAAGCCGGCCGTCATCATGCATATCATCCCGAATGAATTATAAAGAAGTGTGAAATGTATTCAGTAGGCTGTGTTACCTCACAGACATCGGCCACGGTAAATTACTGAGTGGCTTTACAAATTATGCAAATGCATGAAGTACACGTGCTCTCGTCATTAAAATCCGACGCCCCGTTGACCTCGGCTGATATGAAACTTTTTATTCCGTTATAAACGTGAAAATGTAAAGAACAAAACCTAACACCACTGCCGACCCGCTGTAATTGAGTCGCCCATGTTTTATATGCCCGTTTCAATTTATTTTATTTAGCCAACTGTTTCTAATGTAAGTTACGTAAACATTCATAAATAAACTATTCAAATTATAACTATTTCTAGGGATGAACTGTTTGTGTAGGTTAGTTTGCCGTGTGGTAATGACCATTGGAATAAAATAATATAATTCTGACTGTACTGTTTGTCGTCGGTTCAAAATATATGTTAATGTTGTTATCGTTAGTTTTGTATTACGTAGAAACTTTATTATATGAACTTTTGTTCATATAATATATATGAACTTTTGTTCATATAATAAAGTGCTAGGTGCACGTCCTTTGTAGATGAGAGATGTGGTTTGTGCAGTAACTATTGTAGCTGCCAGAGATTGGTGAGGGCTACGTAGCGTGGAGTCATCGACACAAACTTTTGCCTTTGCTCTATTAATTAACATCGCTGCAGTTGATACGCCGCATCTGCCGTAACTTCTCCAGTTATATCCAAAATAAAGGAACGACTTTTCGGCCAGCAGTGCGCTCATTAAAGAACCGGAGAGCAGCTTGTCAAAAACTTTCCAACCTTTCATATCGTAGTTAACTTTTGTGAGTGATAGATAAGCGATACTTATTTCTCATTTATAAAATGGAATTGGACAGGAATAATTTGATTTATTGTATCTAAACATTTTTGTTTGACATCTAATCCACTAATTAAAATAGATGATTGTGCAGAATGATTATTTAACTACAGCCTATTGATATTATCTACATGACGCATCGGGTAACATTAGCAATAGAAGGCCATGAAAGATAATAAGTATATCACAGTAGGTACTTTATACACAATTTTACTGAGACTCTCGGGAAGCTATTTCGTTTTTTCGCTGTCTTGTGACCATGTTAGGTTCAAGATAAAAGAATTACCAGACACAACATCGCGGCTCGTAAATATATTATTATCAGCTACGTGAACACTGTCGCATGCTATCATATCATTCCTGATATAACGTCGTAAACTAAGATTCGGCATGATCTTTACTGAATAGTAATATGGCTCTTTATTTTCGCTTCTGCCTTTTGGCAGTCATATTTTGTATAGGTAATTCTAATATTCAATCTTATTAAAGACCACTAGGAATTTATATACGCGTGCAAAGTGTAATATTAAATGAAATTGCAAAGACATGTTTCGTATTGATTTTTTAAAAGCACATACATATAGCCATTTGAGTATTCGGCTGTCGGAACGACGGCGACGGCCCTTCAGGTATTCCCGGTATTCGCCGTTCACGGACGTCACTCTATCGGCTTTCATATTTTCTGTCCTCAGAATATTCAGTCAGCGCTTCTTTGGGCGACAGCGAGAAAATACTAGGTCAAGGTACCTCCACTTTATTAAAACCTGGAAATTATACTACTTTATTAAATACCTCGCTTCTAGTAGCAAGTAATAAAAATCCTTGACATAATTTTAAAGCTAGTCTTTCATGTACTACACTTGCAACATAAATGCTCTTTTACGAGTTTAAATTTAAAATAAACACGATGGCGACTCGCATGTTGCGGGTTCATATCAAATAAGTGAACTAAGTTAGTGCTGCCGTTTGTCCACAACAGCGCTTTTGTGGAGCTTTGAAAATTGCATTCCACTCAAACAAGGTTGACAGCTCTTTGAAGCCTGCTCCTGAAATATATGGTTGGTTTTCAATAGTCGATTGTTTGACGAAACAATATTGGCGAAAAGGTAAGTTCATTTCGAAATGACTTTCATACTGTACGGATCCGATTGTGACTGACAACTAGTATGGACTACAAAGTACCGTAACAGTTTCATTTACTAGTTATTAATTGCTATCAAACAAATGAACACATAACAAATTGTACTCTGTTTACTGGGTAAAAGCACCGTCCCAAATAAATACAATCATGTTAACTTTATGGAAGTAATTCAGATTTTTATTGTGTACAAATAAATCACTGCACAAACAAACTACAAAATAAATGAATACGTATCGTTCACCACACTGTTTTATTACCTATATCAAACGACCCACACTGTACTGTTATTTGTGATGCAGTGATTTTCCCGGGTGTTCGTTATATCAAATATATTTTATGTATTCTTACAAATAAATTTCTAGCCATTGAACCAAGTTATGAAGCTGGCACAGTTAGGACCCATAAACATTGTCAACGACACTACACAGGCGATTACAGTATAATAAAATATAATAATGGAAGTGCCCGACTCTTTAATGCAATAGAAGTTATGAAGTTTAAACGGAAAATTAAGTTTGCTCTTGATTTTCTCCTTATTGTGAAATTTTATCGTCATTGTTCATAGTGTCTAATATTCCAGACTCTTATATTATTGCCGCTAACAACCCGGACTATAATAATTTCATAGCGAGGTCATTAAGTTAGCTGTTATTGTGATTGTTATGACAATATCTCCCATTGTCT